ACGGGACCAGTTAAGGATGGGGCAGCGCGCACAAGCGAACATCTGTTACAAAATGGCCCGCGTCTGCGACCCCATTAGACATCCTCCGATAGAAACCGATTAAGAATGAAACCGACGCAGATATAACCGAATGAAATTGGGATCGCCTCCAATCGAACCCAGGATCCTTGGGGCCGCCTGTGGCATGCCGCTGCGACGCCGTGCTAAGCCCTGCTGGCCCCTGCTAAGCCCTGCTAGGCCTAGCCGAGCTCTGCAAGGCGCTGCCGGGCACTGTGGCCCTCTGCCGAGCCCCGATGAGTTCTGCTGGTCACCTGCCAACCAAGCCCTGCAAGACCCATCTGCTCTGTTGAGACATGCCAATATTGCTGACGCCTGCAGGCCTGGCTAAATCCTGTCAGCGCCCCGATGAGCCACGCGGAGCCACATCGAACCTCATCTCATCAGAGATGGGCCCATGGCCCATGGGATCCGATTAGGCGTGGACCCACTTCAAACACAATCCAACTACATTTGAACCAACATGTAAGAGCATCCGATCAAGGGGGGACTCAAATCTAATAGAATTCCATGAGATGTGGACCCACCACTACTTGAATTCGGTTTATGGACGGCGTCGCGGGCATCCCCATGCATGTGAAGTGGATTGGGGCGATATTCGGGGCCGCGCAAACATGGATTAGCGATCCATGGGTTTGGCGCGCGATCGCCAAATCCATGCATTGGGGGAAGCGCCCCCCAAAAAATGCTGCCGGTGCCGCCTCGTTCAGCGGCGGAACTCCAGAATTTCTCGGGGAAGCGGGGCCCGTCGCTAATCGGCGCCCCCTTGATCCACGTTTGCGATCGCCTGAAATTTGCGGGGGCCATGCGGGGTGGGCGCGCGACGCCTTCCCCCCGGCATTTTATGCCCGAGACCGTCGCGCCTTCCCTTCATGGGGTCCTGGGGGGATGGGGGGGTCAAAGGGCCCAGCCCGCCTGGGCTCGAAACAGGACTCCGTTAGAAGTCAAACAATCTCCCCCATGATGGCCGCCCCGACGCGCGAAGTCGCTCAGTAAACGCGCCGACAGGAGGAACCAGACAAGACAAGGCTCCTTGGCGAACGCCCGAGGCCGTTTGGCAAACGCAAATTGTCGGGCCCAGGCGGTTCCCCCCCCTTGATCAATGACCGGGGTGGCGAGATTGAAAAGGGAGGAAGGGGGGGGCGGGGGCAGGGCCACTCTCCAGCCAGAGGTGCGAACATCGCCCACCCGCTGGGCTTTTCAATGCAGGGGCCGCGCTGCCTTTCCGAAGGGGGGGGGGGGGGGGAAGTGCCCTCGTGGCGCGCGCCAGTGAAGCGATCGTCTACGTATTGTCCATGTGGTTTTGTGGCGCCTTGACCCCGTCGGTGAGCCCAGTTACCTCGTGTCGCCAGCCTATAAGTTAAGGCGCGGTGGCCCGCGCATGCCGCGGACGCAACAGCTGTGACCGACTCGGGGCCACCTGAGAAGGCCAGATGGCGCGCCGCGCCTGCAGCGGCTGCGTGGCCGACTCAAGGCCACCCAAGCAGACCAGAGGGGGGGGGCCGTAAACCCAGGGGCCGTGCCGCCTTCCCTTGCTGGGGGTCCGATGGAAAACTCCCCCTATGGGCCGTCCGATGCCGCGCCAGCTTAAGACCCAAACCGCTATGGGTCGAACCTCGACTTGAGGACCCGGGTGGCAAAATCGCACAAGCGAGAGGGAGGGCAGGGCCACTCTCTGGCCAAGTGCGCGCACAACGTTGACCCATGGGTTTGACCACCCCAAAGGCGGCGCTGCCTTCCTGTCATGAGGTCCGAGGGGAGGAGTGCGTGCAAGACAACCCACCAGGGCTGGGGCCTGGCTGCGAGGACCCGGGCGGGGAAACTGGCTTGTTATTTTGAGGTGCCGCGCCTGCGACGGATGTTTGAACGGCGCGAGGCCGTCCAAGCAGGCCCCAGCTGAACTGACACTTGGACGCCAACTCCTGCGCTCGTGCCTGTGAAATGAGGGGTGCCGCACCTGTGGCGGCTGTCTGAACGGCGCGAGGCCATTCGAGCAGGCCAAAGCTGAGATGGCACTTGGACGTCAACTCCTGCTCATCGACAGGGAAGGGCATCCCAGCTCGCACCTCGCCAGAATGGCGGTGAGGTGGGCAAGGTGAAAGCGGCCCGAGAACGGCTATCTCGCCCGATTGTCCTGAGTAGGCGCGTGGGAGGAGGGAGGGAGACGACAGGGGCGGTGAGCGGCCTTAGCTCCAGCGGCCTCTTGCCTCGTTGCGTTTGGGGTGCCGCGCCCGCAACGGCTCTGGACGATGCGAGGCCGCCCAAGCAGGCCAAAGCTGACCTGACGCTCGGTTGCCAACGCCTGTTCGTCGACAGGGATGGGCATCGCGGCTCCAACTTTTCCACCGTGCCTCATGAAGGCACAGTGGCGGTGCAGTGAGGCTCGTTGGTCGGCGCCGACGGGGGCACTGCGCCGACGGCTAAGGAACCGACATCGCACCCGAGTGTCCACGAGGTGGACGGCCTCGAGGTTTACGACCTCGAGGTGAACGCCTCGAGGTAATGACCTCGAGTTGAGCGCATCAAGGCGGGGACCTCGAAGTGCGCGCGACACCCAGTCTTGCCGCCGGGCTCAGGACGAGAATTCTTTTCCTCCACAGCGCGCGGCAGCCCACACCGCGTCGCGCACGGCCGCGCGGCGCGGCCGCGGCGCCCCGCCCACGCGGGCGGCGGGCGAGCCCGCCCGTGCAAGACGGGGAAAAGGCAGCGTCCCACAAGCAGGCGGGAGCCTCGCCAGATCGGAAGCCGCCCCCACGAAGGGGGAGAGCCGAACGGGCAGGGCCACCCGCACACCCAAGGGACAAGGGCAACAAAACCAAGGGAAACGAACCCCGAGGCCGACGACACAACGGTGACGATGACGACGACGACGACGACGAAGAACGACGACACGACAGGGAAGACGGACAGCCAGCCCCGGCCCAAGGCGGCGAACGCAGGGGGAGAATCCCTGCGCAGCCCTGGGGGGGGCCACTGGACCTGGCTGCCCACCCCCTGGGAAGGGGACCCCGCTTCTGGGGGCCGTCCCAGGGCAGCGGGGGCTTTTCGACCCTCGGGCCCGCCAGGAGGAGAAGGAGGAGGAGGGGGAGGAGGAGGAGGGGGAGGAGGAGGGGGAGGAGGAGGAGGAGGAGTAAGACGAGGAGGAAGATGTCAATTACTCTGCGCCCTCATGGGCAACTCCTCTTTTCCCGCATCTGTTGGTACTTCCTGTTCCGCACTGGCAGGGGCCTTTATTTGTGTGCAATGGCCTCAGTCGGCGTGTTCTTATATCTTGAACCCTCTCGCTCTGACAGGACACAGGAAGCTTAGCAGCATAGCACTTGATGTTCGCTCAACGCAACATGAAGACGAGCAGGAGGCAGAGGTGGAGAAGGGGGAAGAGATGAGGAGGAGGAAGAGGAGGAGGAGGAGGAGAAGGAGGAGGAGGAAGGGGGAGCGGGAGGAGGAGGAGGCGGAGGAGGAGGCGGAAGAGGTGGAGAAGGAGGAGGAGGAGGAGGAGGAGTGAGGAGGAGGTGAGGAGGAGAGGAGGAGGAGGAGGAGGAGTAGGAGGAGGAGGAGTGAGGAGGAGGAGGAGAAGCAGGAGGAGGCTGAGGAGGAGGAGGAGGAGGAGGAGGACTCGCACACCTAGGCAACACGGATTTAACCAGGAGAAGGACAACGTCGGTGGCGGCGGAACCAACGCCCACAACGATCTCCTCCTGCGGGCCCCTGGAGGCCTCCAAACGCCCCAAGAGTGAGGGGCAACTGTGCAGGGGAAGCGGCTCAGGATGCAAACATCGAGCTTGAATCAGCAATGCATCGCCGACAAGCTGGCGATATGCCCCCGACAGCAAATCCGCACGCTCCTGGGCGGAGTGGGCCGTCGGGCCCCTATCGGCGATTTATGGGCGACTGGGGTCGACGCATCCCTCCTGAGTCTATTCCCCCTTGCATTCCCCCGATCCAGACGGCACACATCTTTTATTTATATACAGATATATATATATATATAGAGAGAGAGAGAGAGAGAGAGAGAGCAGACCATCCACCCTCATAAGAATCACCCCGACAGGCGAAACCGTTTAGTAAAAGCACCCAAGGAGGGAATCGAACAGGGCAGGGCTGTTTGGTAAACGCCCTGAGCCGTTCAGTTAACGCTACTAACTATCAGGGTCGGGGAGTTGTGTTCCCCCCCTTCTTTAGAGGCCTCCTTGATGGGGTCGGGGTAGATGGGGTCGAAGGATCGCGCTGCATCGCCGATACATCAGCGATGCATCGGCGATGTGTCGGCAGTGCATCGGCGATATGCCGGCGATGCATCGGCGACGTCGGCGATGCATCGGCGACGCCGGCGTGAAGCAAATCGGGCTCCGCATCGAGCCGCATCGGCGATGCGGCGCGATCCTCCGAACCCATCTACTCCAACCCCATCTAGGAGGCCTAGAGTTTAGGAAACGCCAACTATCAGGGTCGGGTTTTTTTTGTTCCCCCATTCTTGAGTAAACATGATGTCTCAGGAGGTCCGCGCGGACTTCTTGGATCGGCGCTGGCCCTCCCTCCCTGGCCCGCCAAAGGCGCGTTCAGGGGGCGGGGCCAGGATGGCGCCGCCAGGGCTCAGAGCCGATCCGAGAAATCCGAGCGGAACTCCGAGGAATCATGCTGATGCCGCTTGTTGTTGGACAAGCGCGTTCCACCACTCGCAACACTCGCAAAGGACGGGGCGTGCGAGGGTTGGAGGCCTGGAAGTGGGCACCAGCACCAGCACAGGGGGTTGCCTCCACTGGGGGAAGATGGTCCTACACTCTGGCGTCGGTGGTAACAGTTCGGTCACCTGGGTAGCCCGAATATGACCACCATCACCGAGATTGGGATCATCTTCCCTCAGTGGATGCACCCCGCATATATATATATATATATATATATATATTGGTAATGGTGTCAACCTCTAGGCCTCCGAGAGGGGCCTGGGGCTCCGTGCAGAACTCGCGGCTCTTCGACGCGTACTTCAGCGCGCCGGCGTAGTCGCCCTGCCCAAGAGAGGGGAGGGCGACGCCTTTGAGGCCAGACTGAAGGGCAACCACAGGAGAGGACCAGCTCAGGGGGGAAAGCATCGACAAGGAATCGGTGACCTCCCTCCCTCCCCTCCCCCCCTCCCCGATATATCGGCGTTAGGCCACCGATAGCGAAAATCCGCACGTTCCCTGGATGAGCTATCTGGTCTCCATCGGCGAGGGGCGATTGGGAGTCGATGCCGCGGCGGCGGAGGCCAGGGGAGACAATCAAGTCGGCCACTCTGGCCAAGGCAGATCTGCCAAGAGTTACTTTCTTTCTTTCTCGAGGCCTAGGTCGCATGTTGGACGGCCAACTACATATTTCAAGCGTGAATTTCCTCACAATCTCGCCCGCTTCATCCAGAGCAATCGCTTCAACCGCGAAGGAAGGAATCTGATCACCGATACGAGTTCCTTGTAACATGGGTTCGTTTGTTACCCTTCTGGCGCCAAGTCTGGCTCCAGTGGGGCTGGCTGCCCCCACTGGTGCCGAAAGGTGGGAAATTCCTATGTCGGCGCTGGTCCCCTCGTTGTGCAGTCCTCCACAATGGCGGCGCCAGAGGCGCCACCCGATAGATCGGGCGGACGTCGGAAAGCTTCTGCTATTCCCCGATCAGTGCTTGCACTAAGGGCTTCTTGCATGTCCCAGAAGCAGTGGGCTGACATTTCCGGGTTTTCGCCCATTTGGCACCCCTCACTCCCTCCTCCCTCCCGTCTCCCCTTCATCCGAAAACCTGCTTGACATGACAATCCGCCACCGCGCCTCTGGCAAGCAGTGGAGTGCCCCAAGGCTCACGCAGCCCCGAGAGGCAAAGGGTCTTGTGAAGTTCGTGAGGGCCCAGACCTCCAATTTCCTGGGCGCTCTTGGGCGCTACCAGGCGCTTGCGAGTGCTTCGCGCAGGCCTCTGGGGCGGCCCCCTCGCTCAGGAGGGCCCCAAAACGGGCCAAGAAAGACCCGGGAGGCCAGGCCGCCCAGACGGTCCAGGAGGGCACAGAGTCGCTGAAAGATCACTTCAAGACCCCCAAGATGGCCTCCATATTGCCCAATAAGCCTTAAATACGCCCCAAGAGGCCTCCAAGAGCATCCCCAAGAGGGCCCCAAGAGGCAAACATCTTTGATTGTGTTAGGTTTCTGAATCATTGTGGCGTTCTCGCCTTTTCGGGCTCCCGACGCTCCAAGACGGCCCAAGAGGCCCACAAGATTGTCGAAAAACAGCCAACGAGGTCTCCAAGAGGGCCCCCATACGGCCCAAGAAGATCCCAGGACGGCCCAAGAGGGCTTCAAGACGGCCCGAGAAGCCATCCACGACGGCTCCAAAAGGGGGCCCATACGGGGGACCCGAACGCATATTTCGAGCCCTCGGCCCCGAGAGGCCCCAAGGAGGTCCCAAGAGCCCCCCAAGAGGCCCCCAAGAGGCCCGCCCCCCAAGAGGCTCGTAAGAGGTTTTCCAGATGCTCCCAAGAGGCCACCGAACTGCACCCCGGAGGCTGGGGCTTTCCCCCAACACCAGCTTTTCACACCGAGACGTTTTGTGTCCGTCATGGGGCCCCTCCATGGAGCCCGAAAGCGGGGAAACGCCCCCAAGACTCGCCTTCTCCATGACTCATTCTCTCCGCGGCGAACCTGCAGAATTCCCCGAACACCTCTGAACGCACTGTCGAACCCTGAGATCCGACTTCGCGAAACAAACATGCAGCATCGCACAGATCACGACACGAGCCCGAAATGTAATCTGTCTGCGGCATCTTTCTGGCCGCATCGACCTGTGATGGCCCCGGGGCCCAACATGAGACGGACACGCTCGTTGTGAACAAATCGCGACGCCAGAATCTCCAAGGGCGCCTAACTTCGCGCTTCGCGCTTCGCGAAGCGCGAAGCACTTCGCGCTCTCGCGCCGCCCCCCAGGAGAGAAGAGGAGGATGAGGAGGAATCGGAGCCGAACCTCGAAGCGCGGATAATTTCGCGCCCTCGAGGGCGCCCTTGGTTGCGAACAAACCGCGGCGCCAGAATATCACTGCTGTCGAAGTCGCTTTCCCCGGCCCAAGCGCAGGCCGTGGGCAAGAGAGCCCAACATCGAATCGATAAGTCGGGAGCCGAGTCGGGAGAAGTCGAATCGGCGGAGCTCGGCAGGCTAGTAAAGCCTCCATCGAGAAAACGAAGGTCGAATCATAATCCGAGGTCGTGCCGAATCGGAATCGGAATCGATCGAAATCAAACTGACTGGGGTCGGAGTCGAACTGAGCTCTTGTTTGAGCAGGGACCGACCGTCCCGGCATTCCTACAGACCTACCACGAAATGCACTTAGAACCGAATGCTCTGGAAACGAAAGCATTGATCTTGAAACATGAAACCCGCTGTTTCAACAAGACTGTCTCAGCCAGACATGTTCCTAGAACACCTCCTGGAATTCACAAAAGGCTCTTAGAATGAGCTGTGGGGGGCCTGTAGGCAAGCCAGGACGTCTCGCCCGTGCTTGAAAATGAGCCCTGGTAGGGGGCCTGCTCGGTGCACAGCCCCGTGAGCTGCGTGTGGCAGGTGCGGATGGAGTCCTCCGGCCGGCCAGGAGGAGGAGGAGGAGGAAGGGGAGAGGGCAGGGGAGGGCGGCGTCGGTACGACTCTTGCGCCTTCAGGCGGGGGACGACGAGAGGAGGGTCAACGACGGGGTCAACGACAGGAGGGTCAACGATAGGGTCGACGATGGGGTCGGCGATAGGGTCAACGAAGGAGTCAGCGACTGGGTCAACGTTAGGAGGGGTCGACGACACAATTAAAACTGCTTGTGAAGATGTGCGGTCAGGATGTAAGGGCCATGGACGCCCATGCCGAATAACTTTCGAACGCGGCGGGCCATCGAGACTGGTTGAGGATGAACCGAAGATGACCGCAGAGGCAAGGATGCAAGGGTACCCTTGAAAGGCCGATCATACTTACTATCAATTTTGACTGTAGGAGGGTCAACAACGGGGTCAACGATAGGAGGGTCAACGATAATACGGTCAACGACATGGTCACGAAAAGAGGATGCGCAGGAGGGGGGGGACGGGGAGGAGAAGGCGGAGGAGGAGGGGGACGGGGAGACGGACAACGTCGGCGGCGGCGGCAACGACGACCACAACGGCCTCCTCCTGACGGCCCCCGAATGCCTCCACATGCCCCAGGAACTAACGATAGGATCAACGATACGGTTAACGAAGAGGGGTCACCGATAGGGTGCCGGTAGTCAAAGAGGGGTTAGCAAATCAGCTCAGGTAGCTCGTTATCCTGGACCCTCCTGACACTGGTTGCATGCGACAAATTTCGTAACATCCCCTTTGATGACCTCCCCATTTACCCATCCCAATCTCGTCCGGCCCAACAATGAGGGGCAGCGTTAGGGACAATCCAAAGACAATACAGGATGACACATCCGCCCCTAGGAAGGGGTTGAGAAGTCCATCGGCTCAACAAAAATCAAAACATCGGGCGCCTGGGAACAAACGACAGGGTAGAATGGATCAGGGATGAGCAGGATGATGAGCAGGGAGTTGGAGGATGCACACCAAAGAATTGGACTCTAGGATCCAACTACTGACCTCGTGTGCGCACTCCGGACTCTAGGGTAGGCGCCCCACCCTGGGGCTTGCTCTACACAAAGAGGGAGGGGAGATACGCAGGATCAGGAGGGGATTAGGAGGGAGGAGACGGAGGAGGATACTTGGAAGGGGAATGAGGAAATCTTGACGCAGAGAGGACCAGCAGTAGAAAGTGGGACTGGCGTGAATCTGACGACGATGGTGCTCATGATAATCATCACAATGATAACCTGCAGCAGTAACAAGAGATATAATGGAGGGGGATAATGGCTAGGAGGAAGAGTCGGAAGAGGATGTGAGGAGGCACGTGGGGCTCGCTTTCTTTTGGCCGCCGTGCGTTGTGCTTGCATGATTATCTGCCCGATGAGTGTCTGGTGAGCTCAGGATGCGACGACCTTACTAGAGTCACCGCCCACCTGCACGCTTGGACCCTCATCCATGAAGGGGAGCCCGAGGAGAAGGGGGGATGGAAAGGAAAGGGATCAATTCATGTGGCAAGGCAAAGGAAATGTTGTTGTGACGTTGGTTTACGGGCCTTTCACGTCGCGATGCCATCATCGCCCAGCCTTGAACGATCGCGGCCTTTCCGACAGTGCAAACCCTTCGACACCGACCGCCACCAGGACACTCAGAGGGCTCCTAGATGGGGTCGGATTAGATGTGGTCGGAGGATCGTGTCGCATCGCTGATACATCGGCGATGCATCGGCGGTGTATTGGCGATGCATCGGCGACGTGGGCGTGCATCCGCGACGCCGACGTGAAGCAAATCGGGCTCCACATCGAGCCGCATCGCCGATGCATCGGCGATGCGGAGCGATCCTTCGACCCCATCTACTCCGACCCAGGGGGAGGCGCTGGAGGCGCCGTCACGCCGATCCAAGAAATTCGCGAGGAGCTCCGCGCGGACCTCCGAGAATCCTGGACTCAAAAGGGCGGAAAAAACACCCCGACCCCGACATTTGGCGTTTACTCAACGGCCCTGGGCGTTTACCAAACAGCCCTGCCCTGTTCGATTCTGTCCTTGGGTGCGTTTGCTAAACGGTTTCGCTAAACGGTTTCGCTTGTCGAGGTGGCTAATCTGAGTGTCGGTTTTCTGCTCTCTATATAGTTTGTTCACATGTAACTTGTCTTGTTCGATTCACTCCCGCGCCGGGGTCGCCGCTGCTGCCGGCGCAGTGCGACCTTGCCGCAGCCTTCGGGATCTGGGGGCCGGTCCTCTGTTGGCGCGCCAGGACGGCGTGGGTCGGAGCACCGCCGTAGGAAAAAAGGGAAAAACGGGGGACGAGGAGGGGGGGACGAGCAGGAGGAGGAGGAGGAGGAGGAGGAGGAGGAGGAGGAGGAGGAGGAGGAGGAAAGGGAGGAGGAGGCGGAGGAGGAAAAGGGATGATGATGATGATGAGGAGACCACTTTAATCGAGACCTGCCCTCAACCAGCGAAAGAGAAGGAGGAGGAGGAGGAGGAGGAGGAGGAGGAGGAGTCGGAAGCCTCGGCAGCTGTCAACTATCGGTCGGTCGATGGCCTGGCGCTCGCTTTGCGAAACGAACTGGGTGCTGCTGGCGCACTAGATCGGCGGAGCGACGGGGTCGCCTGCGGGGCCCTGGCTTTTTAGCCCTTCGGCCCGCTAAAGCGCTGGGCCTGTCCACCGACACAAACATGTTATGTAACTCCAGAGGCTTAGGGCCTCCTTGTGACCAATCATCTCTGACTCGGGATACTCCGCGCAGCTCGAGTAGCACTGGTGTTGCAACGGTCCGCTCCTCCCCGCCAACTCCCAAATCCCACGCACACCCTCCCCTAGACATGCCTAGTGTTTGCTCTCGTGAGGTAAGCACTGGTACCCTAGGAGCCTGTCATCCCAGGGAGGTAAAAGCAGAAAGACCGAGGCCCCGATGTCCCGCGGAGTCCAGAGGTGAACGCGCGGCGCGCGGCCAAGAAACACGGAAGAGACCCAGGAACGGGCGCCGCGGGGACAAAGAAAACATCGGCATTTGCTTCTGGCCAACGCTTACGCTACACGAAAGAAAATGATCTCATTCGTCGTGCAAACTCACTGCTGTCGGTTGCGCTGGTCCTCCTCAGCACATCTAAAGCTCTCTGGCTACCTGCTCTCGCTGGCTGTCGAAGGCCTGCGGGATCTATCCCTCCGTCAGCTGCTGCTTGGCGCGGAGGGCGGCTTGGATCTGCCTCTCCAAGCCGTCCCAGCCTGAAGGCGGGGGCGTCCGACGATCTGCTCCGCTCTCGCCGCTCGCGGTGTGTGGACGACGGCTCTCTTGATGTCCGCAATCTGGGTGCCCTGCTGGAGCTTGATGGGATCTTCTTGGTTTCCCTCGCGGATGGCATTGATCTGGTCTTCCAAAGGCTTTGTCCTGGGGCTGCTGGCTAGTCTGATGAACATTGGGTACAGCTTCCAGCGCTCTGGCTGCCCCTGCTCCGCGTGCGCATTCTTGACCTTGAAGTAGCTCAGGATGTCCCCGAGGCTCTGCCTTTCCATAGCGTCGATGAGGTATCGGAAGTCCGTCAAGATGGCTTTGTGCCCGCCTTCGGCCTTGTCGTTCTGGTCCTTCTTCAGGAAGAGGTCCACGCCCGCGTGCAGGTGTGGCTGTCCCATGGTCTTGCAGCACTTCTCCTCAGTGCGCTCCGCGTGTGTCGTGCCTGCCCCCACGTCCGCGCCCGCCGCGGGGTGGCCTCCTGGGGCCAGGATGAAGTCTCCCATGCTGCCTGACTGCTGGCGTACCATCTGCGCGTGGTTGAGCGTGAGCTTCTGCGCCATCGCGATTCGAGAGGTGTGTCGCCTGAGCCAGCTCCTCTGCCTGTGCCCTTCTTCGACTTTCCACGAGAGAATTGCGCCTCGCAGGCGCAATCGCCGCAGGTGTAGCCTGCCCGCTGTTCGGGCTCTGGGTGCATGCCCTCGTGGTCCACGTTGGCCTGCTCTTGCTTAGGGAACGTCTCCTGCATAGCCTCTCCACCATTGTTTGTTCCCGTGGCCCCGTGCGTGTCGCCATTCATGTTCAGGTGGCCGTCGTGTCTTCTCGTCCACTCGCTGTATAAACTCCAATCTCTGGTAGCCCTTGGGATACGCCATCATCATTAGGCCGCGATTGGCAGCTGGCGTGAGCTGGCTCTGGTACGCCTTGTAGGTGTGATTGTCGATGTGCACGTACACTGGCACGCGGTCGTGCAGGTGGGTGGGTTGACGATTGCGGTCTTTCGCGGCGGCGGGCAAGTCAGTGTGTTCTATCGTGCTCTGGTGCGCGCCCTTGAAGTACGTGGGTCTTGTGGGCCAGGATTTGTCAGCCATCGCGAGGTAATTGCGTTCCAAGGAATCCCTCACGTCCTGGCTGGTGTGATTCCCGGGGGCGGGCTCCACTACGCCAACTGTGTCGGTCTCCCTGATGTACTTGCTTCCTGTAACGTCCGTGCGGATGCCGAACGCGCAATTGTAGTCTCCCAGCGCAGTCGGCAAATAGCTGTGTCCATGCTGGTCGAGTTCGTGCTGCACCCATTCGAAACTGCTGCGAATGATTATCCTGTGCGCGGCGACGGCGCGGCCTCTCGGCGGCAACTAGATCGGGGCGATCGCGACACTTATGGTTCCCACCAATATGACTACCATCGCCGCTCGTCCTGTGGTACCTCTGTGTGTGTGTGGGCGGACAAGCTACTCAGTGTACCTGACTGCGGAACCGCTGGCACACCATGACCGCTGTGCCGCACGAGTTTGTCTGCACTGGTGGTTCGGCAATTGGCCCTGGGTGGCCTCAGCGTCGCAAGCTGCCCTCCCTGTGCCGATAGCCGTGTAGATATCAATGTCAGCCGTCAGCTTTGATATTTCCTCCTGGCGTGTGAAGTCCGCCCATTGCACATTGTGATAATTGAATATCATATTCAATATACTCTAATAGCACGCATAAGAAACAACTGAACAGAAGAAGGAAGGGTACAGCAGCAGACTGCGGAGTAGGGCTTCTCGTCGCCGCCCGAGCGGCCCCGTTCCCGTCGTACCGCCCTGTGTTCCACGAACCTTAGTCTGTGTTGATCGTGGTTGGGGGTGGGCCGCTCGCGGGTGCCTGGGCCGTGGCGGCGGCTGGAGGAGGAGGAGGAGGAGGAGGTCGGGAGGGAGAGGAGGGGGAGGGGGAGGGGGTGGAGGGGGAAGAGGAGGAGGGGGAGCTGGTCCTTTATCTGGGTTACCTTGGCCTGGTGGAGGTCCTGCTCATACAGGTCCTTCAGCTTCGAGGCCTGGCCCTGCGTGGCCTGCAGGGACCCCGCCGCCCCTCCTGCCGACCACCGCCTCCGCCGAAGGCAGCAGAAGGCTGAATTGAACGGGCCGGGCCCCTGGCGAAGAGTCTGGCCAGGATCAATCCGCAAAGACACACTAACAACAATAATGGTTGACGGCGATGTTGGGAATGTCTCTCGCGGCGCCGAACTCGTGCAGAGTAACTTGCAGGAAAATACGAACAAGCCCTTCTTAAACTTGGGCTAGCCACAAACCATCGCCGTTATCGTATCCTCGGAAAGGGATTTGATTTGACCAGGCCGGGCCCCTGGCGAAGATCCTGCCCAGGATCAAGGAGCATGGAATGGGACACAGAGAGACATACAAATCACATGAGTCCCCCGTGGAAGCGCACGCCTGGCCAGAACATGTTGCACAACAATATTGTAGGTGCACCAGTCCCCGAGCGGTATGACCGCAAAACGGCAGTCACGGCGTTCATACTGCAAGATGTTCCAGCGTCTGCGTGGATTTTGTGGATACGGCACAGCATTAGTATGTATGGATATTGCCCGCCAGCTATAGGGGGCCGGAGTGTGTCTTCTTCCCTCGAATCGAGGCGAAAGTTTTTCACAATCCTCAAACCTCTGAGGGCCCTCGGTGGGCTCCAGGAACGTCAATAGCCGACGCAGGCTGAAGAGCCTGCCAAATGGGAAAAAGGAGAAAGCTAAGACACTGGAGGTCCGGGGCGGCTGGGACCTGGCCCCGCACGCCTCCCGCGCGGGCCTAGGGCATCTACTGACCCGGGTGAAGCCATACCCGGGTCAGTCAGGTTCTGCAGGATCCTGCAAGATCCTGCGGGATCCTGCGGGAGCCTGCACCCAAGCCCGGGTCAATGCAGCCCTGGCCCTGCAGAAGCCTGCAAGATCTGGCGCTCTGACTGGCCCCTGTTTGCGTTGACCCCCGTCTCTTGAGCTCCGAGGGCCCTCGGGGGATGCCCCACCTGGCGGTGCAGAGCTTGCCTCAATGGGGCAGCTTCTGGAGCCTCGCTTCCCACAAGGTGCATCCTGTGCCGCTATCGTCTGCTCACCCGCCCGCCGAGGGGGAGGCAGGCCGCCCTGGCAGCCTGTTCGGCTTCCACCTGCTGGGGTTTCCGCACGCCCACTGCGTTGACTACAATCAAAACGCATATGAAGGACGGGTGGTAAGGACGCTGGACCCTAGGAGGCCAAAATTGGGATCTTTTGGGCGGCGGGCGACCCGCGAAAACGGCAAAGGACGGGCCGCAGATGCAGGGACACAAGGGCAACACGGATGAAGGCGCGCATCTTTAGATGGACGGGGCTGCTTGGGTGCACGCTGGGGGCTGTGGGAGATCTGCCTCTCGGTGAGCGCCGCCGCCGCCGTCGCCGCCCCGGCGTGCACCTCCCATACGGGCAGCCAGGCCCTCTACTCCCAGGAGCTGTCCTGACCCGGCAAGAGAGAAAGCCCCCCGTCAGCGACTGAGTGTCTGCCTGTCTGTGTGTCTGTCTGTCTGTCCGTCCGTCCGTCCGTGCGTCCGTCTGTCTGTCTGTCTGCTCATCGGTGTCTGTCGGTTCGTCCGGGCGTCTGACTGGCGTGCGGAAACTCAGTCCACTCGCTCTCACGCGAAATCACTCCCACGCCCTTGCGCGCGCGCTGCGGGGGCATGATCCGTGTCAAAAAATACCATGCGGGCCACTCTCGCGCGTCGGCCGCGCGCTCATGTCGAACTCTTTCCAAAACCTTCATCACCGACGCGAGGACGCCGTCATCGTCGTCGGCGTGATCAGCATCCGCGCCCTCACTGGCCGTGCCGTCTACCTCTCTCTCTCTTTGCTCCTCTCCCTCTCTCCCGATCTGCCTCACGCCCTTATATCCGTGACCCTCTGCCATCGCTTCTCCCAAGACCGGGGCCCCCAGACAGGAGGGCTGAACGCTGCCTCCACCCAGACGGAGTCGTAGGGCGGCACCGCAGTGCTGGAGCCCTCGAGCAGCTCCTTCAGCTCTGCATAGCAGCTGGAATACCCCTTGCAATTGGTAGTGCGCTTGAGGAGATCCAAGCGCAACTTGGTGGCTTCCGTCTTCAGTGCCACCTGCTCCGTCTTCGACGCGATGAACTGTAACCTGGTTGGCGGTTGTGCAAGGTCTCCGAAGAAAAGCAGCGACGACACAACCCCAGCCAACCCGGTGGGAAGGGCCCCCCTGAGGCACGCCGCCTCCAGCCTGGCTGGAATGTTCCTCGGTGGGCCTGAAGCCGAGGGGGTCCGCAAAGTCTGCCAATCTCTTGGCCACACCTCCTGTTTAGACGCATGATGACGTGCATTACGAATCCGTGTATCTGCCGCGTGGGCGCCAAATCCACAGATCGGAAAACATAGACCCCGAAGCAATACGCCAATGCCGCCAATGCCGTCTGATCTGGCGACGGACCGCGCCAAACCCGTACGCAAGCGGGACCCGTCGCTGATCCAGCCTGAATCCACGTTTGCGCTAGCTCGAGGTTGGTCCAAAATCTGCCCCAATCTTGGCCACACCACTTTGCACAAGAACCAGTGCGGTGGACCCCTCCAGCCTCTTGGCTCCAAAAGCCTGATTGCAGATCGCACCATCTCGCCGACCCCGCCCGCCCTGCGAGACAATTCCATCCAGCCAACTCGCTCCACCAAATGTGTGACGACAACACACCACACCCCCACCCGAAGCCATCATCCCCACTCACGACCTGGTGATCCAGGGATCTTGGCTGGGGTGAAGTTGGTTTATTGGCCCCCGAGAAACCCCACATCCCCTGCCAGGACCCCCTGGATCACCTTGTCGGGATTGGGGGTCCTGGCTGGTGGTGGGGGTGGGTTGTGCTGTCCTCAGATTCGCTCCCAAACAAGTGGCAATCAGCACGACCGAGTGTGTAGCTTGCGTGTCACCGTCGATGCGCAAGACTTCCCCATGCCCTCGGGCGCGTTGAGTAGGACTCTCTGGCCCCCACAACTGGCGCGCACGTGCTACAGTTCAGGATTGATTCCAGACAGAATGCCCATGTCACTGACATGCCGAAGAAACGAGCCATGCGAGTGTACGGGGAGTGCATTTGTGCTGAGCTAAGCTGTGCCACCCTAAGACACGCCAACGCTGAACCATTCGAATCTGCATTAGACTGAACTCAGATAAACAAGAACGGCTGAACTAAACACGGGTAAGCGAACCTCGGAGAACTTTAGCGAATCTAGGGTAGATTGGGCTGAAGCTTATCTGAGCTGAGCTAGACCCCTCTGAAACGGGCTAAGCTTCGAACCAACAAATCACGCTAAACTACACCATGCCATACTCCAACACGTCCGTAGGACACCTATACGTAACGATCACCCCGCATAATTGGCGGTGGCCAGGTTCCGCAACGGTTCTGGAATATTGTCGCAAGAGCTTCATACTTTGGACAACGTGCCCAGCAAGCTCTACTCAACCGAACTCGATGGCTTCGACGACTGAACGAGCAGGTTAGCTTCAATGCTGCGGATGGTCGCCTCTGGATAGCACCATGGGTGCCGTACTGGCCGATGTACGTCTCCAAATCATCGATCAGGATGGTGGACCCCATGGCTCGGCGGCCCCGAACACCAAGGCAGCTGGGTACCCCTTCAGAGCCGAGGAGCCCAGGAAAGGCAACTGACTCAAGACGCAACGCAACGCCACGGTCGCATCACCAAGTAGTCAACGTTCCAAGGTGTGGACCGAACCGAGGGACGGGACCTGCGAGGAAACCCGACTTCTGCTAGACTTCGGCACACAACCTACACGTGGGCGTCCTGGCCCAAAAGTACCTTCGGCCAAATAGCCTCCTTTTGAAGTGGGATGCCAAAAGATGGTGCTGACGAATCCTCATTCATCTTGCCGGGGAAGGGCAATATGCGAGGGCGAACGGGTCGCACAATTTCTGGCAGACATGTTTGCCAGGTCGGGCGGTTGCTCAACACATTGCGCGAAGAAAGTGCCACGGATACACACCATGACTCACGACGCGTTCTCACGACGGGCGTGCAATCGACGGCCGAAACGGTCTGGAAGCTTCGAGCGCGCAAGCACCCGCTGGAGGGGAGGACGGGCAGGATAACCACGACGACGACGCCGACCACGGCGACGAGGAGGACATGATGGATGACGACGAGAACAAGGAGGACGATCATGAGCGAGCGAACAGAAACCGAGAGGCAAAAGGGTTAGTCCGCCCGACGGGCGGAAGCGCTTCGCCGCGGCCGTCCGCTCTGCAGGGCGGGGGGGGGGCGATCGTGAGGAGGAGGAGGAAACGGAGGAGGAGGCGGAGGAGAAACCCATCTCTGTCGAGCCATCCGCCCTCAACCAACACGCGCAAACACGAACCAAAACGAAGCTGTGGCTGCAGGGACGGGCCAGCCTTGCCGACTTTTCCCTTGTGGGCCTTCACTGCAGGATGGGAAAGAACGAGGAAAATGCGCATGAGGTGGAAAGGGAAGGGGGAGGAGGAGGTGGGGAATGAGGAAGTCAGACCGACAAACACCACTGGGGGGCCGATAATCACTTCGTCAATGATAAATAACCGTAAGACCGACATGTCTGCTGCCAATCTGGGCCTCCATCCCGCCCACAACTACTGGAATTGCAAAACCAAACTTCGAACCGAAAACTAGCCCACAAACCTCAGGAGACGCGTTCTCGCGGGCTTAGGAGGAAGAGGAAAAGCAACGCCGAGCAGGGCGTTCAGTAGGGGCGGGGTCGGCATGGGCGGCAGCAGGCGGTCGGGCGTCGGGGAATGCAGCCCAGCACCGCACGCCCTCGGCGCCGACGAAAAAAACACATCCCATATTCATGGCTGCGGTACTAGTAGTTGTTTGCGTTCTCGCTCCACCAGATGTCACACCGCAACTCCCACCTCCCACGATAGAGCGAGGCGTACCTCTCGTAGCCACACCAGTCATCCCCCACTCACAGCCGTTTAAGCTGCGCCGCTTCTGTGATATTTCAGCCACCTCCATACGACCATGAAATACTCCAATTCAACCATCCAGCACAGCAGCTCTAGCTTCTCAAGATCGTCATTGATAGTCATGCGCGTCTCTAACTGGAATGGACACAAGGCGCAGGCGTCTCGGATACATCGCCAGACATGGGTCCACATTGTCTTAGAACTCGGAAGGACAGGCTCGACATGGTTCATCGGCACTACGCCCATCCTCTTCACCACCCCAGGCTGCTTCAGCCAAACGGTCAACGCGCGCGAAGATTCGTCTGCGGTAGTCAGGGTCTTCGCCTCCGTGTCTTCGCAGGCACTCTGCGCCTTCGCAAAAGGAGCACTTGGCGCTCGCGCCTGGAAGACACAAGACGTTTGTCGACGCCCTCTACTCATTGAGTTTCTTCGCGTTGGCCGCCCCCGCGGAGTTTTCTGCCTCGGAGCGGCCTTCCGCGAGCCCGACGAGCGCGATCGCCTCGCTCGGCCTGGATCTCCACTCTTTCTCCTCGCGCGCGTCGATCTTGAGCGGTTTCGACCCGCGCGCAGACTCTCGCGCGGCTCTGCTGGACGGGCACGGCGCTTTCTGGGATCAGCATCACCACGAGCGCGGCCGCCTATGCCTGGCGCGTCCTCAGCGTTGCATTCAACGACATCGTCAAGACCGTTGGCCTGGCGCGCTTCATCTGTCCTGTCTGCGTCGTTTCTAGCTGGTCCGCCTCCTCTTTGGGCACCGCGTTTGCCGATGCCATCTTCGTCGCGCGTCTTTTGGGGCTCCTGCGTCTGACGACCGCCCTCTCTCTCGCCGGCTGCGCCGCCCGTCGTTTCCGTTCGGCCCTGGCATCGTCGGATCGGGGCGCGCCGCGAACGTGCCGCGCGATCTCAGGGACAGGAGGAGGTGAGCGTGCAAAAAGATGTCTCTGAAAAAGCCCGGAGAAAATCAGACGGCTCGTCGCAGTCTGGGCATGCTCTCGATTCCACGGCTCCAATGGGCGGGTCGAACTTCGACGCGTCTGCCAGGCGCCTTCCGCGCGAGCACGCGCTGGCGAGAGGGCGCACCGCAGCATCTCTGCGCCGAAGATCACTCCTGCGCCCGATGCGCAAGTTAGCGATGACCAACTTAGACGCAATCAACGGCGCGCCGCGTCGGCCGCGAGCGACCGGGTGCCGGCGCGCGAGGAAGGCCCGGCGCACGCGAAAACGCTGATCACATACCAGACCACATCCTCCGCGAGCAGGGGGAAGCAGAAGACGCCCTGGGCGACTTCGCCGCAGAGGGGCAAAGTGTGGGGGGGGCATCGCGTAGGAACCGCTCGGCCCTAAACTGGTGCGCGTCTAGCTTCTGGGGCGCCTCGAAGCCTGCGGCTCCTTCCTGGAGATGCTCGTATAATGTCCCTCCGACAGCTGCGACGCCTTCCCCGGCCCCCCCGCGCGCCTCGTGCACTCTGCGCCCCGGGCGAACTGTCTAGCAAGCTGGTCGGCCCTGCGCGCGTCGGGCCCGGGGGGCCACGAGGGTCGCCGCGGGGGCGGGGCCTCCGCGGGGGCCTCGCGGCCTAGATTCCCGCGTCCTGCCGTGAACTGCTGGGCGCGCCAGCCAGGCGGGCCCGCGACCTTCTGCTGCCCTTTCGACCCCTGGGCGCCGATCTCGGCGCCCACCAGGGCCAGACATGCTTTCGTCGGGATCTGGGTGGCAAGGGGGGGGAGCGCGGAATAACAGACTTGCCGCCGTCGTCGCCAGCGACCGTCATCTCGACCGCGACTCCTCCTAGCGACGCCCGCGGATGCCTCGAGATGGCCGAGCCCAATCTAGCTTCTTGCGACGCTGCGAGCTCTGCAGCTGTCAGTCGCGAGCTGGCCGCCCCGAGAACATTACTTCCGAGCGTCATCTTTTTGGCTCTCCAAAAAGGGCGCTGAGACCAGCGGCGACGCGCGCGGGCCCGCCCTCGAACAACCGCCGCGCGCCGAGCGAAAAACCACCGAGGCCCAGGACATGAGGAGGAAGTGGAGGGAGGGAGGCCATCCGCGTTGGCTCCCACGTTCGCCCGCCACCATGATCTCTCGCTTGGGGGGGGGGGGTGCGCAACGATCGGCGTGGCAAAGACGCGGGCCGTTCGCGGGGAACTCGCGCCCTCTGCGCGGGGGGGGGGGGGGGGCGGCCTCGGCCCGCGGGCCGCGCTGCGGCCTGGCGGGCACCAAGAACCACGCGCCCCTCGAGCTTACCATGAAGATCTACACGCAGACCATGCTGGTCTACGGGTGGGCCATGCAAGTAAACGCGCGGATCGTTAGCAGCGTTGCAGACATCCCACCTCAGGAAGCCCAGCGGCAACAATGCCAAGCATCATCATATAATCCGCTCTGAGGCGCATTGGGCACCGCGCCAGACATGGGCGCCAGCCAGCTCCCGAAAACATCGCGGTCGTTGCCACCGACGAGAATTCAACGACGGACGCGACATAACGACGCCGTGCACGACGAGGAATAACTTGGCACTTACATGCGAAAGCGCGCAGTAGAGGCGAGGGAAGACGCGCCGCGCGAGAACGCGCGTGGAAGATGCGCTATACGAACACACCTTGCGCCGAGAGATCAGCAGATGCAGCGCGTCGTCGCAAGGGCTCCGCTGCAGCGGCATCGCCGCCCGCGCGCCGCCGCGCAGCTGCAGGCACCCGCCTTTGACTGTGTCCTCCAAATTTCGTTGATTGGAATGGCATCCCAATGGTCATGTCGCAAGTCTCGTAAAAGCTCCCCGATCCGGTCGTCAGTTCCCAATGATCTCAAAAATTTTATGGATATGGTGAAATTGGAAATGCCGCTGCTGTCGATGGTCGGCGCCGGTGGTGCCAGGGAGGATTGGCTTGAGATTGCAGGGAAAACTTGCTAATTAAGGCAGCTGGAAAATCACCGCCGACGTTGGCATATTCCGCTCGTCCGCCGCCAAACATCTCGCGTGGCGGCCGAAATCGCAAGGATGCAACGGGAAAATCGCTTCCTACAGCACTGTGGGTTACCATCCCTTCCCAGCAGGAGGGGGAGGAGGAGGAGGAGGAGGAGGAGGAGGAGGAGGAGGAGGAGGAGGATCAGCACGTGGTTGGAGGAGGAGGAGGAGGAGGAGGAGGAGGAGGAGGAGGAGGAAGAGGAGGAGGAAGAGGAGGAGGAGGAGGAGGAAGGGGAGGACGAGGCGGCGGCGGGGGGTGGGAACGGCGGCGACGACGGCGGGAGGGACGAGAAGGATGGGCAGTGAGCAGGATGACGAGCACAGGCAGCAGGAGCAGGACGAGCACGAGAAGCTGGAGGAGCAGGATTGTGGGCGTCCGAGAGGGGGTCTCACAAATGATGGCCCTAAGCACGTGTGCCGCCCAGAGGGGGCCAGGGTTCTTTTTCCCCGGACGGCAGATGCAGCCCGCGTGCACCCCCACGGGCCAGCGTAACCCGAGGGGAAACATGTTTAGTCCGAGGAGTCCCTGTCGATAGCGGCAGCAGGGATCAGGGGACCCTCGTCTTCCTCCCTGCAAAGGGCCACAGAGACCCTCCTCAACGCACAACGGCCGTCTGTCGACGGGGCTGCTAGGCCGCACGGTGGAGACCACGGAAATCGTGGGACGGCCCGTCTCCAGGGTCAACGTGGTCACCAGCATCGCACTCCCCAACCTCATCAGATCGTCACGAACTCCAAGCCGACCCACCACCACGCCCCCATACTACAAAGAACCAACGGGAGCGCGCGAGTAAATAAAACTCTGGCAGTCGTACGTCACACACACACACACCGTGGAACGGTCGACACTGACCCCTGCCCACGACGGATGGAATATTCGTTTCAATGTATTCCACGAACTGCTGTGAACGGCCATTTTACCAGGCTCACACTTCATATCGAGGTTCCCGAACGGACCCCCCGACGTCGTAGAACTGCACTTGTGGCAAATACAACGAATAATCGCCAGAGACTCAAAAACCGCACCGTGCCAACATACACCCTTTTCGCAGACACCTGCGTCCGCGAAACCAACACAGCCCTTGGAACCAGAAGAAAACAATGCTGGCCCCGTAGCCCACTTAATCACAATGGCAATAGACATCGCGTGATACTCGGCAGCCTGAGGCGACTGGGGACAGGGCACCCTCACTGGACTCTTCGCGACTGTTCGCAACCCGAAGCCGGGTCGACTAGAACAATGGCCCACACAACACGATTCAATGTTCCAACCAAATATCGGGTGCACGAACCGTCAACGAATAGGTCACCCTCGAACGCGACACCCTCGAACGCGACACCGATGTCCCCTTCGACTCCCTCCGCCCATTACACCTTGAGCGGAGCAGAAAACGAGTCAGCGGGGTGCGGGAAGGTACCAAAACAGGCCAGATTGTCGTCCGCCTCATCTGCCCATCTCTCTACCGCTTTAGACACTAAGCTATCTATGAGGGCCACACATTCTGGATTCTGATACTTCCAGATCCGATGCCTCAGTGTGTGAACGGCTTGGCCACAGCGAGTAAAGAGTGTGGATGGCAACACATGACCTCAGCCCGCAGCGCGAGAACGCGTGTATATGGCCACACAAAAGAGAGTTCTGGGACAACCCTTCTAAAACGGAGTGTACTTGGCGCTGCTGAGGTAGGGGGACCCACGGGGCGCGTTGATCGAAACATTGACGGGCACGAGCTCTGGGGAGGTACCAGGGCCCAGGCAGTGATTCCCTTTCCCGGAGGAGGAGGGATGGGGGAGGACGGCGATGGCAAGAAAAAAGGATCGGCTTGCGAGATGGTCCTCCCCAATCGGGTCGACATCGAATCGCTGCGCCTGGGTCCGGCTGCTGGCCCTGGCCGATGCCGTGGAACCGAACCAGATCCAATCGGAATCGCGGCCCTAGCCGGCGAATCGAATCGGATGGTAGGCGGTCCTGCGATGGCAAGCGGGATGATCTGAACGATGCGGGCGATGAGGCGCTCGTGCGCCGCATCGAGTGGGCTTCGCGGTCACTGCAGGGGGGAAGATGGATCCTTCAGCGACTGTGGCAGGTATCGCTCACCTGGTCTCGCAGAGCAGCTGGTGCCTTTTCTGGAATAACAGACGTTCGGACCTCCGCGCGGATTTCTTGGATCGGCGCAGGACTTCCTTCGTGGCGCGCGGAGCGCGCCACAAGGGGGGCCCAGCGCAGATCCAAGAAGTCGCGCGCAGGTCCGAACGTTTACTGCTATGCAGTTCTTTCTCCTTCGAGCAGCTGGCGCCTTTCCAGGACGAGCCGCGGGCGCGAATGAAGAGACTTCGAGTAGGGGTTCGACTACAGAATCGATGTACCTCAAAATTGACTTCCCGCCGAATCTACAAAACACGCCTACACTGCTCCGCAGATCTACTGACTGCTCGACTTTTTTTGCTCATGAGTTCGACGGGCAAATCAAGTTAAGGGGCCCTGGGACACACAAATAAATAGACACGAATCCCAGGATTCCCTATATTTTCACATATTTTCTGGGCTTCTGTTTCCCCCCACGTTCCCATATTTTCGTATACTTTCCTGGGAATCGGCGGTTAATTGTCTGTATGTTTTCCCCTTCCTGACAAGTTTAGGGTACATCCATTCTGCAGTCGATCTCCTACTCGAAGACTGGAAGCACAGCGGCTCTGCTGTCCGAGGGTCCGCACCGCCTCGCAGGACCGCCCGACAGGCGGTCGCCGGGGGCGCGCCTCCTGGATCTGCGTGCTATTAGAAGCAGAAAAAAGCCATTAACACGAACTTTTGGTGCTCCGCGCAGATTTCTTGGATCCGCGCTGGACCCTCCTCCCTGGCGCGCGGAGCGCGGCAGGGGCGGCGCCGGAGGCACTGCCGGGGGGGCCCAGCGCGGATCCAAGAAATCCACGCGGAGAGCCAAAAGTTTATGTTTCTGGCGTTTTTTCTTCTTCGAATTGTGCGCCCTGCTCGGCCGGCTTCCTCTGCGCGCGCCCCCACCGGAAGGAAAGACCACGCCTGCCACGAAGGGGACGGCTTTACATCGCTCGGGCGTCCCTTCCCCGTGCATGTTCTCGATGTCGTGCGTGCTTTTCTTGCCGTCGCTCGGACGTCCACTTTCCGTGCACTTTTCGGTATCGTGCGTGTTTTTTTTAATGCTCGATGGTCCAGGATGGTCCTCGATGGCTGTCGCCGCTAAAAATGCACACGTCCGAGCGATGCCAGGTTTTTCTGGCAGATGATCAGTCAAAGGGGCGTAAGACTCGGGCTCGGGGGACTCGGGTTGGCCTGACGGGGCCGTCAGCAGAAATAACGAGACCCAACCTGAAATCTGACGTGGGCTCTTTCTGCAACCATCACACAAAAAAACGTATGGACCGTCAAAACCCAGGACGCGCTCGTCCAAAAGCGTGGGCTAACCCGAGTTCTGGCGTACTCGAGCCTTACGCTTCCTCGAATCAAGGGTGCTTCTTAATGGTCCTCGCCGAGAGAACAGGCACACGCCCGAGCGATGCCAAGGACGGGTCCCGGCGGAGACCTGGACCTCAGGGCCTTGCACAGGACCAACCCTGCACCCCGAGCCGCTTCTTGTGCAGGCCCGCTTCCCTGCCATCGCCCGGACGTCCACTCCTCGTGCATGTTCTGTTTCGTGCGTGCCCTTTGCCGAGAAAGACTGCACACGCCCGAGCGATGCCGAGATCTTCTACATGCCCGCTTCCTTGCCGTCGCACTGGCGTCCACTTACCGTGCGCTGTTTGGTTTCGTGAGTGTTTTGCGTTGATCTCTGAAGATGATCCCACGTGCCCCAAGATGGTCAAGCAACATTTGGCGGTGCGCACAAGGGGGTGGAGGGAGGGGAGAGGGCTTCTTAGAAGGAGGCTGCTTCTTAGAAGGCGCTGGCCTTACATCCATAGATAAGGCCAAGAAACAGGGGTGCTTCTGAGAAGCCTTCCCCACTCCCCCCACCCCCCTCTGCGCGTGGCTGAAAAATGCGCACGTCCGAGCGATGCTAAGCTTCCTTCGTGCTGACGCGCGTGGAATGCAATTGCCCAGGGTTTGCCGGATTGTGCCGCACCCGGACAAGAGATGACGTGGCCACGCTAGACTCTATGGATCTGCGCCACCGGCATCCCGTCCTTCGACAGGAGAAACTTGAATTTGTACTTGGAGGCCGTGAAGAGCTTGGTGTCGTGGCCAGCCGTGCCCTGCCTGTGGAAACGATCTCTGAGCTCTGCTTCGTCCTGTCGGTTGCATGCAGGGAGGCCTCCTAGCTGGGGTCCGAGTAAAGGGGCCGGAGGATCGCGCCGCATCGCCGATGCATCGGCGACGTCGGCTGTGCATCGGCGATGCTGGCACGGAGAAAGCCGGGCTCCATATCGAGCCGCATCGCCGATGCATCGGCGATGCGTCGCGATCCTCCGACCTCATCTGATCGGACCCCAGTTGGGGGGCCTAGAACTTGGCGGCGCGCAGGGGGGGAAGGAGGGGGGGGAAGCTTTCTCAGAAGGAGGCTGTTTCTTTGAAGGCGCCGGCCCTACAACTACAGACAAGGCCCGCGCCTTCCAAGAAGCAGAGGTGTTCCTGAGAAGCCTCCCCCCCTCCCTCCTACCTGCCTCTGCACGTGGCCGAAGAATTCAGCGAGTGGCAATACGTTTGGACCTAGGGCAGAAGAACATCCTTCTCAAGAACATGAGGCCCTCCGCCGGCCAAAGCACCCCCAGCCATACGAGCACTCGAGGTACCCTCCATCAGGATGCACGAGAACATCCAACATGCATGAAGAACATCGGGGCACCCTCCCCGAACCGGCCTCGATCTTCTACCTCGATCCGACCCTACCCCTCTCGGCGCGTGGCCGAAGAGCGCAGTGAGTGGCAACAGGCAGGGGTGGCCTCTGGCGTGCGAGTTGCCAGCCGCTGCGAAAAGTTGGCGGTCTGCGTGCTCGGCTCCGGTCCCCGCAGCGGCCCCTGGCGCGCCAGGGGCCACCGCAGCGGAGGAGCCGCGCCTGCCCGCAGGCGGCCCCAGCAGGGCTCGATCCGAACGGTGCTCTCCGCTCGCTCTGGGCCGCTCCAGTCGGAGTTCTTCGTTCTCTGAGTGCGCTCCCTCCTCTTCCGCCCTGCGCGGCCGCGCCCCGCCTCGTTCCTAAGGAGCCCACAAAAAGACGTACGCGCCCAGCCACGCATAGGAACACGGCCCTGCGATCCGCGAGACTGGCCGCGTGATACAAACGTTCGCGCGGAGCGTACTCCCGAAACCAACGTGGATTCATGTACGTGTACGTCGTTCTGTCGCTGCTGAATTCCCGCACTCTTGCCGCCGGAAAAATTCGTGCCTGCCGTAGCCCTGCTCACGAGACGCGCGTGCGGATCGCCCCTGCCGCGCAGCGACAGACAAAGTGTTCCCTGGCTGTGTTTTCGTTTCGCCTCTGCCGCAGAGCGGACATCGCAACGACAGCTGTCGAGATCGCCACGGCACCACCTGGCTGGCTCGTAGCCCTGGATCTTAGAAGAGCAGCGAAAGCGCGAAAGCATCGTAAACATCAGCTTTCGGAGGTCCGCGCGATGGGGGCCCCAGCGCCGATGCAAGGAATCCGCGCGGGCCTTCGAACGTCCGTTTTCCATTCCCTGGGGGGGCATCCACGAAGGGGGGTGCAAATCATGGCCCAAGGCGTGTGTCCTGGCAGTCGAGCAGCGTCCTCATGACGGGGGCGCCAGTCTTCATCAGCTGCTTGACCCCGAGCTCGGTCTGCTCGAGCTTCCCGGCGCTGAGGAGGTGCTTTCGCGCCGCCAGCCGCTTCTTCTCCTCCCGGAGAGGGCTTCGAGGGTCTAGCCTTCGAGAAAATCGCAGGCTCCAGAAGCTTCGACATCCGCGGAGCCTCGGTGTTCTCGAAATTATGAGGGCGGGGGCAGGACAGGCGAGGCCTGTGCCCCCCCCCCCCCTCTCCGCGAGTCCGAGTCCTGAGGAGTCAAAGGGCCCTGGAGGGGCCTCCGAAGCTGCTCCGGCATGCCTTCAAGACTTCCTCTCGCCCTGCCTGTGCTTTCCCCTTTAGGGTCGGCGGCATGGCGCAGGCCACTCGAGTAGAAAAGAGCCCGGGCACGTCCGCCTCCGCCTCCTGGCCCCTGTCCTCCTCCGGCTCCTGTCCCTCGGTGCCCTTCCTCCTGCCTCCTCCGCCCCCTCCCAGGCGAGAACAAGCCTATTCCTCTTCCCCTCCCTCCTTCCCTTTCTTCCTGCCCTCCTCCTCCTTCCTTCCATGCTGCTCCTACTCCCCCCCCCTACGAATTCATCCTCGTTCTCCTCCTTCTCCCCCTTCCACTCCTCCTCCTCCTCCTCCTCCTCGTCCTCCTCCTCCCTCTCCTCCTCGACCCACCCGCGATTCTCCCACATGGCTTCAGCGAAAAATTCGGCGCCTGCGGCGGGCTTGATGTACACTTTGTAAACAATTATTTCAGAGCCTCGCAGACTGCCGATACCCACGCCGCCCCCTCACTCTTACCCGCCACTGCAGGACGCTACGTTGTTTTTTTTCATATTTTCTGGGGCTTCGTCTTCCCCCCCACTTCTCATATGTTCGCCTCGTTTCCCAGCAATCGACGTTTATCTGTGTGTCTGTATGTTCCCCCCCCACCCCATGATTGCAAGGAGGCCGCCGCTGCCTCCAGAGCACACC